AAGGTAATGAATTCGTACGATAAACAACAAACATTCTAAATATAATTTACCGAACATAACAGTTTCAATTGGAAAATCTGAGCCCTTTCAATAAACCTAATAACACAAAGGGAACACCAACTCCTAGCTAATGTAGTAATAAAGAAATGTGTTGTCTCCAACAGGACGATACTTTCAACAATCAGGAAAAAGCTGATAACAGAGAAATACGACCGAACACCCATGCTCCCGAAGTGGACAGGTTGATAGAGGATTCAAAACCAAAGAGGAAAAAGGAATTTTCTATTCGCAATTGCTTCAGAAATTGTATATTTTGTGGGGTGTGTATGAGTACTGTATTGATGTAATCCTATTGTTATTCAAAATGTGTGCCGTATTAAGTACAATATTAACCACAGCATTACTCAATCAGAAGTTTTTAAGAGCGATATTATTAAAATGATGACTGTTTGTATATCATGCCTTAAATGCAGTATAGTAGGATTTAAGAAAAATACTTTAAAAGGTTATATTGTTTTATTAATAAACAAACTTATATCTCTTTCAATTATCAATTCTTATTGATTACGCATGTCTTAAACCATTGCAAGAAAACATAACATTCAAACATGTGCTTGCTTATAAAATTATTTTAGGGAAAGGGACCTGACATGGACCAAGACAGTTCAGTCATTGTCGAAGACAACCTCAGAAGGAGGGAGTCTGAACGTTGTTTACTAAGGTAATGAATCTTGCAACAATTGTACATTGTACATAATTAAATAATCGAAGCAATCAAATGATATTAGGAAATATTAAAAGAACTAGAACTTTTCAGTTAATCTCTCGGTGCTTTATACCATTTGAATTTTTACAACTGATGGTTTGAAACAAATGGATTAATTATAAACTTATAACAATAACTGGGTCGCAGGGTCGAGGCCTACGTGGGGCAGTCGCCAGGTACTGACCGTAGGTCGGTGGTTTTTCTCCGGGAACGCCGACTTTCCTCCACTATCGAAAACTGGCACGTCCTTAACTGACCACAGCTGTTTATAGGACGTAAAACCCAAACAAATAAACAAATAATGTATAATCAAGAGAGGTGAATCGTGCAAGACGTGAACAATTGTCTGATTTCTTTTTTATCGAAGAAAATATTATATCCCAAATAAATGTCATTTCCTATATAAAGAGAATTAGATTGATGTTTACTATTTCAGATTGTTCTTCAAATGTTTAAAATGAAAATATGTTCTCATCTCTTTCTTTATCAGTTCACGTGATCCAGCTGATATATCAGGACCGAATGTGGGAATTCAGTTAACGGAAACTCAACGCCCAGGCAGAGGTTTATATATTGACATCAATACCGACGATGGAGAGGAGGAACTGAAGGAAATATTTGTGTGAAAATAAAAATATAAGGGATACCGAAATCCGGGATGTATCGCTATTTGTATATTGATCGTGTTTATTTGCACACATTTGTTTGTGACATTTGTGTTTGTCTCATTAAAGAAACGTTTGATCAACATCATCCGTATATGTTTTTTGTTTATACTTATCAGATCAATATTTTGTACAGAATGCATTATTGTGATATCTAAGTTTGTACTTAAGTGTTAACGCTTTGATTTTATTTTTCCATTTCACCTGATTAGGTATACTATAAACATTTTAAAGATATTTGAAAACCAGAAACTGAATAATTTTGTTTTTTATTGCCTTGTTGAATAAAACCCGTCAGAGGTGGGACTTATTCCAGATTGAGTTGAGTTTCGTGTCAATAACACACCTCACATCGCTTTAAAATCTTTGGTATACGATAATATAAACTACCTGAAAATAGAAAAAAATGTCCCGAGGTCGGAGACACTTAGGTAAATCATGTTTATTAAGCCTCATGAGATCTGTTTCTAAATTGAGGTCTATAAAGGATTATATTGTTAATTTTGTTTCAAAATAAACCTATTGTAATATGAATTTTGAATATATTGTCTAATTGAGTAATAAAACTGACAACACATCAATTTTAAAAGACAATAACATATAATAGCGAACCTTAAAAATAATCAATTACATATGTGAACCACAAACTTCAATCTGTATACAAGTCTAAATACTGTGTTCTAATATCAGAGTTGATTCGTTGATAAATGTTTTCTTTCTAACACAGTGGACATGTCTAAATCAGTTCAAGAAAAAATGTCTTGAATAACAAGTTGAAGAAGTCGCAGGAGGAAAACCACAAAATCGCTTTAGCATTTCCTCCAAGAAGTTGATGAAGATCATCAATCTTTTCGGAATATATTGATAATTTAAATTAAACTGAAAATTGTTGCTGAAAACATAATAGCTTTAACGAGTGGGCTTGGTACCTGTAGTACAACAGAGTCCTCAAAACTTTCAAAATAGTCATTGTATATTGACTAAATTCCTAATTTCAATAAACTATTTTGTTCATTTTTGGGAAAGTCAGGGGTAGATAAACTTTTGTTTATTTAAGCCTGATTCATAGTGCTGGAACAGAAGTTTATATCTTAATTTTCACTCAGAATACATAAAGAAAAAAAAGGTTCTACGAAACTGCACCAGGTGGAGTAATTGCGAATAAGTCGCATTCTTGACATTTAATTCACCAAATTCATTAATATAAACACCACTATAAAATGTGACTTCCTGTGATCAGATTTAACTGAAATTATGTCACAGAAATCAAGAATGTATTTCTGTATCACAACGATGAAAAAGGATATACATATGGAGCCAAGATGGTGGAATTCAAGTTTGGAAAATGCCTTTGATCGTTGCCTAGAAAATAAACCTAATAAAAGTGTTCTATGATTTAGGTACATATATTAATTGACCCATTCTAACTTACAGATAATGACTGCGTTCATAAAAGTTTTAAAACTTCAGTGCAAATTTATCACAAAATTATTTCAACAAAGGATAAACAGTAGATTTTTGCCCATTTCAAACGAATTGTAACAAAACCATTACTCTTCATCACGTACGAACCAACTTAAGTATATCAAATCACCTGAAATTCCAATAATAACAATTGATTTAGTCAATGGCATATCCCAATATCTCCAGAATAACACACAAAGGTATGAGGTCAGCTGATATTCTGTAGTTTTCTTATAAATGGTTTTAAAATTAGTATGATGTAATAGGATTAACTTATTGTTAAAATGTTCCCCTTTAAGTCACTTCTACCACTGGGATTCGTTACAAATGTCTAATACACATACCGTTATGCTATACTGATAAAAATCACATCACATGTATGTTTATATGTGTTGTGACCCATATCAGTATATCATATGTGTATTAGACATTTTTAACGAACCCTTGTGCTCCTACCGTGCTATCTAGAAGTATGCCCTCGAATTCCAGCTACCTATGTATAGCTAATGGATCTCGGTTTTGGTCGCTTGTTTCTTGATCCATCTTTTGTAGAATATGTCTCTTATCACTTCCTAAATTATTAGTTTTATTTTCATAACCTGTATGTTCTTTCATTAAAAGGTCTTAAACTAAACCACTATCACGAGAAAAAAATCAGTCATATTTGACATAAACAATGATGTATCACCTGGTCAGACACTTACCTGATGCTGCTTGACATAAACAAATAAGCTTGCGACATCATCACGTGTATGCATCCATTTTCTTAAGTTTAAGCCGTGATGATTACACTCTGTTACTAATCGGTCAAATTAGTGTCACGCCGCCGGTCTCTCGTCATCTAGGTAAACAACGTGGTTATCGATACCGGAAATCGGTCTGTTAAATAGCATGCAAGCGCAGTACAGGTAAATTGGTTCCAGTGAGAGGGTCACAGACCGTCACGAATCGGTGCGCAAATACAAGAGGTGGATAATACATACGCGAAGTGTTTCCAATCCCTGTTATCTATGTCCGTGATAGATTTAACAAAAGTTATTTTGGAAATTCAAATAAAAGTAGGTCTATTAATCAAGACTTGCCATTTGTCTGCGTAATTTTCGCACAAAAAGAGCTAATATATCATATTCCGAAACGAAACATAACTTAAGCAGTAAAAGCCCTTTAAGTGCTAGTTTAGTCATGCGATCGTTAATTATATGTTATCAGCAATACATATATACGGCAACTAAGTAATTCTAACAGTGTAGACAATATGATGATAACAAACCTTCAGAGCAATCCGCTTCTTTATCGAGACACAGAAAAAACACAAAAGAATAACATTACATAAAAACAAATGTAGAAATATAATAGGATCAAGTTAATATATTCAATGGTTACCTACGTAACATGGACATTTCTTTTTTGTATTATATATATTTACGTTGTGTTTACCTTTACTATTTATAGAGCGACGTCATTGGAAAATACTGGCTATAATACGTATTTGGGTCTAGTGATTAAAGCCGTAATGTTGGCCAACCACGTTTTCCTGAAGAGGAAAGCTCCAACTACATTCTGACATAAACAACAACAACAGAATAATCGTATCAGTTTTTGTACATCAGATGTGACATTCATAAGCAGAAAACTATAGTAAACTGGTGAGTATTGGATTAAGTACTATCTGGGACGACATGCAATGACGATACAGACATGCGCCATGTTATGTTATACGTTGATATGTTATGACATGAATTATTGTCCTGATATGTTTATTTTACCTGTGTCGATATTGGGGTTTCGGCAAAGACATGAAAACTACATATATTTAGGATACCTCCAACTATAATTTTATAAATGTTTAATTATCTAATTATGTAAAACATAATACTATGTCAAATGTTTTGGTTAAAGCAAAAATATGAAACATATAAAATAGACATGTCCTGTCAGATTGTTTAATCTTATCTCATTTTATGTAGTCAAAACTTGCATTTAGTCTTTGCATATTGACCACATGTTGAATTGAAAAATGATTAAATGAAATTCAGAATTTCAATTAATTATTTTGTTCTTTTTTTGAAAAGTCAGGTTTAGCTAAACTATTGTATCTTCCGCCTGATTCATAGTGCTGGGAAAAAGCTTTATGTCTAAAAAAATTCACTAAGAATACTTAAAGAAAAAAAATTCTACGAAAATGCACCAGGTGGAGTAATTGCGGATTAGTCGCATGATTGATATTTAATTCATTGAATTAATTAAAATTCCATCTTATCCTATTTTGTGTAGGATCTCAACACTGTAATGTGACTTCCTGTGATGTTATCTTATTAAACTGAAATCATATCACAATAATCAAGAATGTATTTCTGTATCACAATGATGACAACATATATACATATGAAGCCAAGATGGTGGAATTGAGGTTTGAAAAATGCCATTGATTGTTGCCAAGAGAAATAAAGTGATACAAGTGTTCTATTTTAAGGTACATGCATAAAATGACCTATTCCAACTTACAGATAATGATTGCGTTCAGAAACTTTTTCAAACTTCAGTGTATTTTTTCCACAAAATTGTTTTCTTCAAATATAATTGAAATAAAGGATTTGCAATAGTTTTCTGCCCATTTCAAACAAATGGTAACAAAACCATTACACTTCACCACGTACAAATTCACCTAAATATATATGAAGTCAATTGGAAATTCCAATAATAACAATTTAATTAGTCAATGGCAAATCTCACAATCTCTAGATTAACACACAAAGGTATGACGTCCGCTGATATTCTGTGTTGTTTTTATCAATGGTTTAAAAATTAGAATGAGGTGATAGGATTACCTTATTGTTAAAAGTTTACCCTTCAATTCAACTGCAGTGGTTCATTCAAATGTCTAATACACATACCGTTATGTTATACTGACATAGGTTACATCACATGCATGTTTATGTGTGTTGTGACTCATATGTGTATTAAACTTTTTAAAATAAACTGTGCTTTTACCGTGCCGTCTAGTAGTATGCCTTCGAAATCCAGCTACCTATATATAGCTAATGGATCTCGATTTTGTTTGCTTGTTTCTTGATCCATCTTTTGAAGAATAGGTCTCTTATCACCTCCAAAATCTTAAGTTTTATTTTCATAATCCGTATATACTTTCATTAAAAAGTCTCAATCTAAATCACTGTCACGAGAAAAATTCTGCCATTTTTGACATAAACAATGATGTATCACCTGGTCAGACACTTACCTGATGCTGCCTGACATATACAGATAAGCTGACGACATCAGATTACACTGTGTTACTTATCTGTCAAATTAGTGTCACACTATCGGTCTCTCGTCACCTAGGTAAACAACGTGGTTATCGATACCGAAAACCGGTCTGTGGGATAGCACGCAAGCGCAGTACAGGTAAATTGGCTCCAGGGAGAGGGGCACAGGCCGTCTCGAATCGGTGCGCAAATACAAGAGGTGGACAATACATACGCGAGGTGTCCCCAATCCCTGCTATTTAAGTCTGTGATAGAATTAACAGAAGTGATTTTGGAAATTCAAATAAAAGTAGGTCTTATAAGTAAGACTTGCCATTTGTCTGTGTCATTTTCGCACAAAAAGAGCTGATATATCATATTCTGAAACGGAACATAGCTTACACAGTAAAAGCCCTTTAAGTGCTAGTTTAGTCATGCGATCGTCAATTATATGTTATCAGCAAAACATATATACGGCAACTAAGTAATTCTAACAGTGCAGACAATACGATGATATCAAACTTTCAGAGCTCCATTATCGAGACACAGAGAAAAAACACAAAACACAAACATTACATAAAAACAATTGTAGAAATATAATAGGATATAGTAAATATATCAAATGCTTACCAACTTAACATGGACATTTAATCTTTTTATTATATATATTAAAGTTGAATTTACCTTTATTTTACTATTTACAGAACGACGTCATTGGAAACCCCTGGTTTTAATGCGTATTCGAGTCTAGTGGTTAAAGCCGTAATGTTAGCGAACCACATGTCATGAAGAGGAAAACTCCAACTACCTTCTGACACAACAAAAACCAACAGAATAATCTTATCTGGCTTTGTATATCAGATGTGACATTCATAAACAGCAAACTGTAGTTAACTGGTGAGTATCAATTCATTAAAATTCTATGATGATATTACATATCACTATGTCTTGATATCCGATGGTTCAGGATTTGCAAAAACAAATATTTCTGTATCGTCATTTGGCTATCTACGCTATGAAAGAAAAATAATGCTCACAGTATATCGGAATATAGTATACCATGATTTACCTCCAGATATAGTTTACTAATATAATAAGTCTTACATTGGAACGTTCTGAGGAGAAAAAAACTAAAGTGAAACTATACTGCAACATGTACTTAATGATTGAAATTTAAGTTATCAGGTTTTGATCTGTAAGTCTTTTAATAGTGAAAAAGGAACAGTTACAAGATTACCCACAAAGGAATTCTTTTGGGAGCAATCTATTCTGATAACATTGGTCGAATACACATGAGATGGTATATTGTTTTCATGTTTTATTCTCAAACGATTACAACACCACCTATTGCAGATTTAGTATGACACCTTTTCTAAGTAATTTCAAAGGCAGCTGACACCTTTATGAGAAATAACTTTATAATAATTTCCTTTATATGGATTAATTTATCTTAAATTAAAAAGTCTACAATAGTTATTGCCATGCAAAACAAACGTAGTGAAAGGATATATATCTTTTTTTGTGAATTAAAACTTAATAATTCAGAAAAGAGTTGAGATCAGAAACGGTGTCTTTAACGCTGATTACAAGATAAAAAGGGTTTTAAAATTGTATTTAAAATCCTTGTGAAAAAGTATGAAAATATTGATATAGCAGATGACTGAGCAATGAGTGCAATATCTTGTTTATCTCCCCTATCCCCTACAATTAGACCTTTCTCATTTTGGGGGAGCCCTAGAACGGAGCGTGGAGACAGAGACCCAGACATGCAAATACAGGGGTCATTTCAAAAGTAATTTTATATAGAACGTAGCGTATAGGGTATGTCAGAGTGTGTAGACGCACATGTAAGTGACTACAGGTAAGCGAACAGGTAAGCAATTATGTAACCGATAACCACAGTCGTTGCTCAATGCGACAGGTATGTGACCGTGGTTATTGATATTTCAATAACTCCGTTAAGGATCTCACCCGGGACGTCTGTTGTATTTTTGAGTTAAAAGAAATTCCCGAGCCAAAATAATCAGTTGGAAGACGTTTGCTCTTTACCAGAGTGACAGGGATCACATTTGCAGATTAAATGTACCATCCACAAACTTCTTAGGACACGATATTTCCATATTACGAAAGAAATGTTCAACGCTTACACGGTGTCTTTTTATAATAACGTTAAACTGAAGGTACTTCTTTCACACATTTTCGTCACTTCATTCTTTTGCATTTTTGTATAGAGGTGGTTGGACAAAGGGTCGTTTATTAGCATCCCTTCGTGACAAAGTAACGTAAATGAATGTTCCTTCACAACAATAACATGATGACGTAAAAGGAGTGGTTTTCTGTATTGACATATGTGCTTGTTTATTCTCCTGAAAAATAACAACAGAAGAAAAGTAGAAATTTGTTCAGCTTTCTGCTAATTTCAAATTCGTTTTAAATCGACAGCTTTCATGGAATTTTCTCCATGCAACACAACCAAAATACTTAAATATTGGGGTTGGGGGCAAAATCATTTTATGATATTCTTAGAAGACTGTTCTAAGGATAATTTCAGGGGAGTAAATTTTCGGATTTCTATACCACTGCGATCAACTCTAGCATGCACCGACTCTTTGTTTTCAGTATAAACCATAATTTGTACATATAGCATTACATTTTCAAGAAAGCAATGCAAATTATGACAATTCAATTACACACTCTAGGTAATGGAAACAAGCTTAAAATCATGGTATTTGTAAGAAATTAAGTTGGTTTGATTTGTAAGTTATATTTTAGGTCTTTTAAGGACGTACTTCCGTATTTATGGTATGTGCATGTGACGGAGGCAGTGTGTTTCTGAATTTGCCTCTGCGAGAGAAGTCCGGTACATATTTTGCTATACTTTCAGAAATTCGATACACCCAGAAATTAGAGGATATGCATCTTTGAATTGAAAAATGTCTCGCTCTCAGTGCTCAGTGTTTCAATACGTACGAAATGTTAGTATTGGTTTTATGAACTAGACAATGATGTTTTTCAATGTTAAAAAGTTGTTTGTTCTCAAATAACAACATTGCTTAAAATCATATTTTGGGCTTTAGTCAGATACAATGATGGAACTATTACTATATTTAACATTTTTCTCTCATTGAAATGAAATCTTTTTGATATATAGTAAAAAACATATTCTTAAATGCACAAGAGCAGGGTTTTAACAAAGAAGCGTAACTGTTAACATTTTTGCTGGATTCATACAATATATAATTGCTCATAGTAGGGTAATTCTAACATTTGGTTAGGCTCGATAAGAAAATTAACCAGGAAGCAGATATACCATAGCGGATACCATTTAAATTTAATGTATGATCATTGAAGTTGACATGACAAATATATTTTTTAGATATTTTTTATTGTTGCTGTTTCCATGCAACAGTCATAACAATCATTTCAATGCAGCTTTGTTATATTTTAAATATTTTTTCCCGTATAAATCATTACAATTGATTCAGCTTTCTTATCTTTCTCTTTAATGAGCTCTAGTGTTTGAAGGTCATTGTTTTTTTAATCACCGGCTATGTGTTATTTTGTGAAAGTTTGACAAAGAAGAAATTTCACAAAATCATTGTTTTGTTATATTTACAGATCAATCGTATCATTATCAAACAACGGAACAACTATGACAACGTTTACTCAAGAACAATACAACTTCGCACATCTAGTGATGTACGTTGGCAAGAATGGCCCAAGAGTGCTGAAGAAATATTTAGTTGACAACCTATTTAGATATCAGCTGCTAAAAAACGAAGTACATCTCCTGGAAAACCTGGATCCAAGCAAGTTTTCATTGATTTTCCCCGCAAATGAACCTGTTTCGTCTCTTGACAAGTTGGATGACGCAGTAGTGCTCGATGTTTCTAAGCTGGTATTCAACACTGAGGACATAAATGACACACAAGCGTTACGTCGTTGTTTATACGCAGAATTAGAAAAACCAATCTTATGCACATTCATGCAAAACAACGAAGCAAAATTTCGGAAGAAAAACAAACGGTGCAAGTTATTGAGTAGGAAACAAATGGATATACTCTTTCCACCTGGTGACAGTATCAATATTGACAAACTAGATATAACAGCTGTTTGCTTCATACTTTTTGAGGGATTTAACTTCATGAAACCAATAACAGATCTGGACAAATTCCCCGCGGATAGTGATATATCCCCCGGAAGCGATATTCTACGAATAAAACTATGTAGAAACAGGTTAGCTCACAATCCAGATGATGAAATAGGGGATGGGGACTTTGATACGTTGTGGGAGTATATGACGACAGCGTTTGGACGACTAACTGGCGATGTGAATTATCGACAAGAAGGTGACCGGCTCAAATGTGTCAGACCTCATATGGACATCATGGATCGACTGCAGTCAATATTAGAGAAATGGCACAAAGAGGATCGAGAGGAACGTTCAGACCATTTGGAAAATATTACGGAAAAGGTCGCTTGCTTTAAAGAACATACTGAAAATGTTATAAGAGATTCCACAAAATGCATAATATCAGCAGTGAAAAAATATGCAAAACACAAACCTCATAAAGGTAATTTTATATTCAATACTTAACTCAAATACACTACAGCGAAACCCCACTTACTCGAACTTGCATTTCCCATATACCCCATATTACTCGAATAGTTCGCTTTTTCCTGACACTGTGAAATCTGTGTAATCTTTGAAAATCATTATTGCAACACACTCTGATTTGCGTTATTACCTTCATGTTTATCGTCGACACAATATTCATGACATTTTTATTAACGTCAATATTTTTCAGCATTTTTCCCATGGCATCAAGTGTGTATAAAAGACATGAAGAAGTTCAAAGAAGTATGTGAAAGAGAATGCATTGAGTACAAGTTTCCCGACGATTACAGCACTGACAACTCTTGCAGTTCTCCCAGCGATACAAGTCCATGTAACAGCTGTTGTGATAATGTAAGTTAACAAATGTTTTACAAAATGCATTTTTCTTGGTGAGGGACTAGTCAAAATTATGTTGTTATTGATGCTAATGATATTAAATGAGATAAAGAAATTATCAGGAAATGCCATATCTACTTTATTGCAAACAGTATGTCAAATGTACAAATTTTGCATAAGAAAAAAATCGCAATATTTTCATATATCATTTCCTCAAACTAAAACTTTTTAAGTCGAAGAATCCGATAATATCTAGATGACCAAAGAACATTTTTTTGATTATACTCATTGCATTGTATTCAATTGGTCTGGTTATTACTTTTGCTACCGTGGTGCTTTATTTGAGAATGTGACACAACTTTTAAATTTGACCTATGTTTGTATGACGTCGATAGGCAGAAGACGCTGACTCTTCTTGGACACATGATCATATTCTCCTTGTACTTTTACAAGAGTTACCTAGTATTTTTATTTACTCATAGCTTATTCACTTCTGTGCTCTCTCATGTTCTCATCAAGGAGAAGTTGTCCTTTGTGGGTGTTGTATATATACTTTATATGTCCTTTATATTCATGGAAACCAGATTCGAGCTGCAAATTCGAGTTAAAGAAACTGTTCCCCAATTAAGATAAGACATTTTTGTCCAGCTGTTTAATAGACTGTAAATCATATTACATGGACACCATCGAGGTACACCAGGTGAATAAGACCAGGAGTTGTATTCATAGCACTTTCCTATGCTCAAGCATGCGTCAAACCAATTTTCTTATAACTTTAATCATGTGACATGGTAAAACAAAGTCAAGTCTAGACAATGAAAACGAAAATAAGCTAAAATGTTACAACCAAAATAAGAATATGGGCTGGAGCAGAATCCCAGCTTAATCATGATAATGCTGTTACAGGTCCAAATGCTCCGGAGGATAGGATTGTCTGCTTCATCGAGGACAACCGCAACATTACTTCAGGTCAAAATCAAGTAATGTAACGTTCTCATTAAACGAATCGAGGTAGTGACAACAAAACAACATGGCACCCCTTTGACAATAATCTAAAACATCGATCTTCATATCATGCAAAAAAATAATCCAAATCAGATCAGGCATTTGCATTTAATGACATAAACATTTGCGAATTTTTTCTTAAAATTAAATGGGTTTCGCTGGTCCCTCTGTTTTACAAACTGGTCTTTTTTCAGTCACCAAGACATGCCTCAAATACTTCATATACAAATTTCGATACCAGATCATTCAAGGAGGCACGTGCAAAAACAACAATTCATGAGTTTGATCACCACAATGGCGTCAATCGTGTACCAATAGTAAGAAAACTGGTGCTACTTGAAATTTTGTTTAAGACATCTTATGACGCCCGTAGTATGCATATATAAATATATACCGCCGTCTTTAAATAATAATCAAACGAAAGGAGAAAATGTGGTCCATATATTTGGTTACATAATGTAATAGGAATATGTGTACATGTACTAGTATGATATATAGATTCAATACTTTGCGGAGGTTCTAATGTCGTTATATTCGCGGAATAAAAATAATAATAAAGGAATAAGTAACATGAGAACTTAACAAAACGAAAAACGAGAATATCATCAAGTGCTGTTTTGATAAAGCGAAATAAATTATACAACAAATAAGATAATGAAATATACTGAGGAAGATATTGTGTTCCTGGTTGACAATATCTTTGTTCAGTTCGGTGGAATAATTGTACAACAGACTGTAGGCATTCCTATGGGAACAAGATGTGCCCCTCTTCTGATCGATTTGCCTCTTTGCCAATTCCTTCAATTTCATATTCAGATATATTGACGATGTGCTGTCTTTGAATAATAAGATATTCATTGACCACATCGATCGTTTATACCCTCCAGAGCTTGAAATAAAGGACATCGCAGACTTTTTTTCTTGCGCCACTTTCCTCGACCTTTACTTACAATATGACCAACAGGGACGGCTTACTATTAATCTGTACAATAATTATTATGATTTTTCGATTGTAAACTGCCAATTTTCCTTATCCATATCAACATCCATACTTTTTACCAATGGTATTTACATGTTGCAGTTGATTCGGTATTCTATACCTTATCCGAATATCATGGCTTCCATGATAGATGTCGACTGTTGAGGGACAAACTTACAATACAGGGTTCCAAAGATACGGTCGATGAAGACTATGGACAATTTTTATTATCGCTATGAGTATCTCACATGGAAATGTGACATGTCGTTTGCGATATGAAGGTGGATATTTTGTATTTTGTCCATTAAAGTGCCGTATTAGTTTGTTGTCACTACCCGAGTTATCGATGTGAGGACGTGACATGACTCGGATTTGACTTAAATTTACATGACGGGTTCCATCGATAAATCAGAAGATGCTTACACTTCCGGTTTTTATCTTGTTGTTGTTTTATATCTTAATATTATATTATACAGTGCTAAAATGTGTTGCTGGTACAGGTACTATGTTTCAGACACCAGATATCTATTTATAGGTACCGACTGTAGAGACATCGATATATAACAACATTACAGCAACAGGCTACAACCCGGCGACTGGGAGCTCTAAAGGAGAGGAATACAACTGCACTTTCGTAATTAAGATAGAAATTAACCATAACGTCAACATACGTATTGCAAAAGAAGATTTTATGCATTTTAAATAACAATCATTTTCAAACGACAAACACAAATTGTGTGTTATTGGTTAGCTTAGTGCATAGTGTGAGAGTCCTATGTACTGCGGAGGTTCTCAAACAAGTTCGATATTTTCGCAGAGTAAAATTGTTGAAAATTAGTAAGTATTGCAACCTCCTCAAAAATTCAACCTTGTGAAATTTAATTATTTCGGGAACAAACAAGTGAAGGTCTAACCCTACAAAAACGGTACTGTATATTTTAAAGATTATTTTTCATCTGCAACTAATAATGGTGAAAACAATACAATCGTGACAGTACGAAGTATTTACCAATATCTGTAAATAATAAAACGTTTTTGTTCCTTTGCTTTTTTTAATTTACCCGTTGAAAACTTCTAGGATTAACCGTTATTAATCTTTTTGTATTTATTGTATGTTCACCTTTGAGTACATGTATCTTCAATTGTGAATAATGTAAAGTGTATGTCGTTATATACAGGTTCAAAAGGTGTTGCAACCACAACTTACCGAAGCATCAAAAAGCAGACAACGAAGAGGATATGATTTTAACAAGCAAGATGAAGCGGAGTTGTCACGTTTCTTGTATGAGGTAAAACAGAAATTAAATCGATAGTGACCATTTGTTGTTAATAGAAATTTGGTGAAAGGGCCAGTTTCCAAAACGGCCCCTTCTCTGATTCAAATTTCCTGTTGGTGGTGCATTGCCCATGCCGTTGTGGTCACAAATCTATAAAGTATAAAGATTTAGGTCACTTGGTTTGTTTTTTATGGCTCCTCAAAGTTGTACCTTTCAGAAGCTTTGATGCTGAAGTTGACAACTTTATAAAAATATTATACATTTTCACTGAAATTATGAAATCTGGGTGTCGGAAAGGTGTAAAATTATTCTTCGGAAAAGAAAAAAACAGTAGTTGAGCTAGATAAGAAATTATACGGGGGAAGGCTCCTATGGAGAATTAACATTACTGGAAACAGGCCCTTTATATTTAATGTTTCAATTATATCATTTTTATTTCTTGATATATAGGATCAAAAGGTGTTGCAACAACAACTTACCGAGGCATCAAAAAACAGACAACGACGAGAATGTGACTTTAATGAGCAAGAGGTAGAAAATAAAATTGATAGTGGAGATTTGTTGTTAACAGAAATTTGATGAAATTTATATCAAATATTTCAATTATATCCTTTTTTATTTTGCAAAGTTGATTAAATTCTGTGTTTAACTTTCTACACATCCATAATTGTTGAGGGGTCGGAGGTAATAAGTAGGTTGGATAGTCTATCTGAAACATACATATATATATATTTGTCTAACCAATAAATAATTCTTCGAGAGAAACATATTATGCTTATGAGTGATAAAAATATACATAGCTACACACGTATTGCGGATAACATGTTTTAAACTCTTAATTTTAATTTATAGGTACCGTATGTAGGGACATCGGTGTATACAGGAACAAACAGTATATCAACAGGCTATTACACGGCTACTGGGAGTTCAGCGTATGGTAACACCGAAAGAGGAGAAAACAACAGTGCTTTCGTGAGTACCATAGAAACAATTTTAGCACAACGTTATAACGTGAACATGTACATGTTTTTGCGTTTATTACATTAGATAGGTACCGATATCATTAACACCATTAACAGCGTTAAGAAACACAAGTCGCTAAGAAACAACAAAACAAATTGAAAGTCACCATGTATCCACAAGAGGAATGAAACCATGTGTGACAGTAAGGAATTCTCTACAAACGTCATTTTAAACATTTCACATGTAATTCTTAAAAAGCATGTCAGTCATCAACATTGTGAAATTAACAATCATGAATTAAATGACATTACATCCTGACATCCATTGCTAGATATCCTGGTCGTTTACAAGAAAAAGGATGCACGCTTTCTTGTCTAAAACGACTACTGTATACCTCGAAAGTGTCGCTATAGCTTAATTTTCGCCTTTCCCCCCCTCCGTGATGAGGATGAATTTATCTTTACAGCAAATATGAGTGAATAACTTATCTTACATAGAAATGAAAGTTTCATGAATCATTTTTTAAAATAATGTTTCATACAAAAATGTATAGTATATATTTAAGGTATTGCACTCTACTCATATCAGCTCAGGACTTCTTCAGAGCAGATAGTCGGTGTTTTAATAGCCAGATTATTGGCGTCACTAAAGTGGTTATCTGACCATATTATGTTACAATCTTACAACACATAATGAACTTTCTAACAACTACTTTTCTTAGATGTTCAGTACTCGTAAATATGAGACCTTCATTAACGTGAAATTGCATTTATTTGTTAGCATTTCGGTGACGGTGAAAGTGAAACCCCAGGTGCAAGTGATTGTGGATACGCATCGTCAGTGTACACTGCATGTCCAGGTAGAGGAAAAACATACTCACAACATGTTCACTATCCGTTTGTTCAGTCTTCGGAGAATCGAGATATAGACACATATGGCTTCCCATCAGTAAGTACATGTTATCGTTTTGAACTGTGGTAATAGTCTGTTCCAATTGCAAACATGTTCAAAACCACATCTAACATCAGCAATTAAAGGTTATAGAATGTGTTTAAGACTCAATATACTACATGTGTCAGTGTGGTCTGTAATGTTTACATTGGATAAGCAAGATACGAGACTAACAAGCAAAATTAACACCACGTCATCCCTTCAAGTCTCTATAAACGATGTAATAATAATTCATAATATTAAAGTGACATAATACCAATTATTTTTGTTTACACTGTCAGATAATGTAACAGTTCCTTTTGTATTACTATTATTAAACAAAGTAATTATTTTGTAATAAACAGAGCTCACATTACGACTCGCATACTCTGTGCACGACTCCAACAGAACTGGACACTGGCGATACGTATACGTGTATTGGAGCTGTCCATAGGACTCAAGATAGAAACACATTAACACACTTTTGGAGGAATGTACTTCGCCCTGTAATGTGTTTGAAATGCATCACATCCCAGGTAAGAATCATTTATGAAAAGTCGTCTTATATCAAACATTTGTCTTTTATGGGTGTGTGGATACGGTTGCCTCTCAACTTCGTTTGGGAATGAATTTGCTACTACCGATAATGTGTCTACAGAAACAAACCGATGTTACATTAAGGATAGTATGATTTGCTTGATTGCAAAACGATTAGAATGAAAAGATAAAGCTTAACGTCTTAACGACAAAAAATGGAGAAGAAATGATTTCAAATGACGCTTTTTTTGTTTCTTCAGAACAAGGAAGAAGAATGTCCTCAGCCAATGATGAATACGAGGTAATCTAACAATGATACAATTTCTATAATTCTTGTTCATCAACGTCTTATATGTCGTTCTGTTCCAAACGTGTTAACCCGTTTCAACCCATATGGTTTAAATCACATTACCATAGCATGAATAGTAAGTAATACTCTATTAAGATAATAAAGCAGTAAAGAAATAAATAATCAAACGATCTGTAATTGAATTTTCTACTTTGTTATTCCATAGCTCGAGGAATCAAGCTGGCCTGAGAAGAGCACGTCAGAAACAAAACCAGCAGGACGAAACCAACCACGGGTCACCCAGTGAAATCAACACCGATTACATCACATTGAAACTTGAAGATCCCTATGCAGTATACAGTATCGCCTAGACCGGCAACGATTTAAATTTAAGCTTTAACGGCAACTGGAAGTCAATAAGTGTTTAAACAGTGGATTACATTTTTCATTTTTGTATTCATTTACAAAAATCGCACGATACACGATCTAAAGATGAATTCATCACTTTGTGATATGCTGTTGTTTTATATATGTGTTCTGATAAATAGGTTGACTAACTCCGAAATTTGACTAAATCTTGTACCTAGTACCCATTTCTATTCTCTCGTTATTATAAATAATAGCGGAAAACGTTAAAATTGCATTGAGTAACCTTTTCAAAATGCCTTGTTCGCAGCGTGACGTCTTTATTGGCGCCAAAGATTCCGCCATTAGATCCCAAGTTGTTTGAATGCAATCACAATTTCGTTGTAATGGTAATTTTAAAATGTAAAGTTCAAATCTAATGGTTCTCATTCAATACCATATATATTTCACTTGGATGGATGACTATATCGATATTTCACTCGTGCATCATACTCGTGAAGTATTAGTATTCTGCCATACTTATGAAATATAAATGATAGTCACAGGGAGGCAATTTAATATGTTCTACGTTCACACATTGTTCGATGAGTTTTAAGGAACTGCCTTATCAGCGCTAACTACTAGGACTTCGGTAACCAAATCCCGGTCGTCTGCGTGGAAAGCCATAGTGTTATCCACCCGGTCACAATCACAATAGTTCATCTCATCGATTTTTTTCTGTTTAAATAGTGTTTTGAATAGAACGGTCTTTTTGTCGTCATTGTGTATTGTTTACGTTATAGCACAAGTTTGTACCATTATGAAGAGAGATGGATAATACAAAGTTGTGAATATAGATACGTTTTTAATTACTTTGGGAATAACTCGTCGATTGGAATTAGAAAGAGGTCATAATTGCGAAGTTTCATCACTTGACTGTCTTAAAAAATAATGAAGTAACGTCAGAAAGGCTGCCGTTGAAAATTAAGTTTGCAATGAATGTAGAAGCCGCCTCACTGGTATATATAGTTCAACATTATTCATCACAAAGTCTAATGTCTAATTTGAGTACGAACTGATCTTCAAAACTCAAGTGTTCGAAAAAAACAATTAAATAAAAGGAAAAGTAAGATACAACGTTAAGCAGCTATATGATAAACAAATATTTCAGTAAATGACGCCAGCGTAAACGATTAGCTGAATTTGAATTACATTTGTGACACTAATTCAGTGAATGTATTCTGTAATATTCCGTTAACGTTTCTCTATGTAAACAAAAGAACTGATATCCTGTCAACAGTCTCTATTTTGTCTAATTTCTTTAGATTTCGTTTTTCAAATAATAGTTTTTCAGAGAATGGTTTCCTCTAACAATTGTATGCTTTGGTTACTATAAGGGAAACATGCAAAATATACTAGTTTCTTCTAAATTGTACACAGTAGAAGTCAAAAAGTAAATTTCAAAGGAACTTAGAGACGGCAAAAAGGGCAGCTTTTCATTTGCATTTTTTTTTGGTATGCATTATTTAACATGAAGAAAACTTTCTCAAACACATGCTATTAAACACACGCTTTCTTATAATTTGTCTTAATCAAATCAGCTTGATTATATGTAGTATTGTCAAGTTTATTTAGATATACACTACATTTAGGACATTGACGAAACTTCGACCATACAAAGAGCTACAAATGTACCTAACACATGCATTGTAAAGTAAATTCCATTAGAAGTACTATTTAACAAAAGTTTAAATTATTTTGAAAATGCTGTTAAGCCTTGATTGATAATTGTAAAGCTATGGTATACCGATGTCAAACAATGTATTGTTTATGCTGACTAATACATGATGTGACGCTTTGTTATTTTTATCTGAAATGTGTGATTGTCGGCGGCGACGAGAATGAGCGAAGGTACGTTTGTTATAAATACTCATTAAGAATGAATAATTGTACTTAACCAAAACATGCGTTTCCCATAGTGATAAATGTCAGTAAAATACTTAATGCTATATGTACATAAACATGAAGATATTTTACATAAACATATTTTATTATTGTATATGAACAAAATGGTGGGAGACACATGTGTAGTGTTCCAAACGAGTACACGTCCGGAGCATCCGTTTTGTATATTTATGTTGTATCATGCTAAGTAACTTTTTATTCAAACGTTGCTTTTCCTTTTCCCAATCAATTGTTATGACGTTTTAGATAAATTGTCTTTCAGATTTAACAAGAAAGTATCATTTATTGAGTTAAACGACCCTTCGTTTTACGTCTAGTACATGCATATCTGAATGTAACAATGTAACTTCTTACAATGCCACGTTTTATTCTTACCACATATATCAATTTATTAATTGCCATGAATAATGTACGACAGACTATGTGCGCATATGTATATTTTTAACAGGCTATGCACGTGCAACGCACTTCCTAAAACTTCCCATATATTGAAAATACAAACAAGCAAGCCGAGAGCCCTGTCGAATGAAGGTGCGCTCATATAGTTTTTGTTTAGTATGTTTGCTAGTTAACTAACAAACAGTTTCTTTTCAACTTCTCTATATATTAAAATCCTGTCGTGATTACGATTAAAATATTCCGTCGGGGTTGATTTGAGGATTGTAGTACATGTAAGACTGGTTACAAAGTAGCATAATATTGAATTCAGATATGTTACAAAGTAGGATTATGTTGTGTCAAATAACAAGTGTATTGTTTGGTACTTGTTCAAAACACTTTCAGGTGAATTATTTGACCTAAAGGATGTGTTAAAGTAAAAACAAAAACAAAACAGCCATATGACAATTGATGTCCCTGTTGTAATACCTGTGTGAGCGAAATATTGGTCGAGTGCTTCGGGAAATTTGGAAGAGAGTTTAGTCTGTTGGAAAATAAAACATTCGTTTTTTGACCAATGAAAAGAATCGTCATATCGCAAACTTTGAGGTATGCCGTTATTGTATTTTCCCGGAACTAAGTTCCTTTGAGCATGGACACATCGAAATAAGGATCATTATTTGTATCTAGGCCTGCGTTGCTGGCCGTTGTTTATACATTGTAACTAGGGGTGAGAGCGGCAGTGTCGGTACCTCCGTTACACAGGTACCAGAAGTATCGATGAAGCTTCAAGACTGTCGTATTATTACTCACGTGTCGGATCATGGGTTCAGAAACTGGTTTATCAATTCCTTGAATAGATAGAATATACCACTTATCTTGCTTTAAGAGATTGACTCTTAGCTGTTGCCCCTGGTAAATAGTATGCATGTGCACGTTTTAGCACACTCATCTTATTTTAAGGGTTCGACTAATATATATAGTACTTTGAGTGATGTCCCATAGAAATAGTCTTTTAGTTTATGTATAGAACATTCACCTTACTTTAAGAGTGCGGTTCCTAGGTCTTTGAGTTGTAACCCATAATAATAGTCCCGCATCACTTCTATTCAAGAGGTTAGCTCTTAGTTATTTGAGTTGGCGTGGATTTGTTTAGTAAACTTAGCGAATTGTCTCCCTTTAATAAAATCAGTGAGCTATCAAGACGGGACCAATTGTATTTCCTCAATCATTCCATATTAATTCACCAATCAATAAAACGTCCATTTAGTAAAATATTTTGAATATTAAGATTTAATAGTGTATTAATTCAGGGAGGAGGGAGTCATCTGCCAGGCATTGGGAAGGTTTCTATCTTACCCAGTAAATGCATTCGGTCCCCCTTTAGTCTTACTGCAGGAGGGGTACTATTTATATGTTTGTCTCATGCAGCCAATCAGCGAGCACTGACCAGTGGTCAGCCTCCTTTTCAAGATAGCTGCTATTTTTCAAAAGCATCACTCCAGAAATTTACATGGTCGCTAGCAGACGTGTTTCAGCACTCGCCACACACAGCCCTGACATTTTGTCTCTTTCATTATATTATACCAAGGTGATGTCAAATTCGGCATGGAATGGGATCTTAAATTCGACAAGAGTTTGAGATTCCGGCGGGCTATGTGTTGTCGACAGAAGAACTTATGTAGCTGATAAAAAATACATAGAATCGGCGACAGCGGATGATGCAATATTGGCGCGCGTATTAGTCTGCAGTGTGTTCTGCGCGGGACCCTGCTATTTCTGTAAAAAGAGCTTTCCAAACAATCAGAGACATGGCCGAAGAAGCGCCTGCGACAAATATTTTAACAGATGTCGAGCGAGTAAAACTCTGGGCAGCGAGCAAGAAAATATCGGACGATTCTGTTAAAAGTTTACTTGTGCTAGGGTACGACAGTCTGGAGGCATTGTCGTGTCTGGATCACAGAGATCTGACAAAGTCAAAAATCCCGATCGGCCAACAGAGATTAATTCAAAGAAGCGTTCATCAGACTTTTCCCCTAAATATACAAAGTGATGCGGCAACGGAGGAGGTGGCAGACAGGAACGAAGAATGGACTGCTAGCGAGGCTGTTAAGCTAACAGCACATGGCGGCCCTACCGGCGATACTTTTGTGGCGGAAGTGTTAACCCAGTTGGCGGATGCGCAGACAGATGCGCGGGGAAGCATCAACATCCGGCAAGACACCGGTAACAAAGGTAGGCCACAAAATTCATCTTGGGGGGCAGGAGTGCAGTCGTGGAACGACCCAGCGTTGTACTTGGATTCATTAATTACAAAGAAAAGTGACAAGTTCTACGACATCGTAGATTTTGTAAATTCTAGTTCTGCATTGTTAAAGCAGGACGTGCTGGTCTCGGACTCAGAGGGTGGTCAGTTGGTGTTAAAATCGGGCCCAGTCAGACCAAAATTGGAATCGCTATCGATCCCTCAGTGGTCGGTGGCGAATCTAGCTATATTGCGTAAGCTTCTAGAGGATAAGACATTGTCACAGTCCTCTATCAGCGACTACCTGTCGTACACAACAAAAGTGTATCAACTTTTGTTGAGTAACTTCGACCTAGGGTCGGTGTTGATGTACGATAGGGAGTACAGGTGTCTTCAACACCAGCATGGGTTTCGGTGGAGAACAGACGTTCCTCACCTCCAAACGACAAACCTCCGTCAGAGACCACCACGTCCTGCTTCTAACGTGACAGCCAATAGTACAGGTAGTTCTGGTAGGCAGAAATATAAATCAGCAGGGAACACCAAATGGGCATCACATTCAGCTAATGGGGTGGAATTTTGTAAAAAAAATAAGTCTCTGAACGGGTGTGCCTTTCCATCATGTAGGTTTGTCCATCAATGTTCAGTCCCTGGTTGCAACCAAAAACCTTCTGCGCACGCTCAATGCCTAACCCCCCCCCCCCTTTCATATCTCATAGCTTATGTCCGTCAGCC